TTGATCGTCTGTACTTACTCGAATCACGGATCTTGACTTTTATTTTCTTTGTAAACTGGCAAAAGCACTCGACATCTTTAGTCTGAGTTTTTCGAAATACGTATGCCTTGAGGTTTTCTTCAGATGAAAACGAACGGCCTGAGTCCTTTACCGAGCGAAATAAAGAAGACCGAATTTTGCCGACATTGCAACTTGCGTGGTCACAATGAAAAAGAGTGCAGAAAATATGGAGAGAACACAAGGAATGGAACGTCTGTCCCGGGCAAGGCTTTCGAATCTTGGAAAACTGATCGCCGCTATGAACGAGGTCGTCGAACTGATCAGTATCATCCTTATTGGGACGGTAACCGCAACGCTGCAGTGCAACAACCAGAATACACTCCAGATGAACTAGCATCTAAGATAGCCAAACAGCGAGAGGAGCTGCTCTTACGAGAGGTGGCCTTACGAAATACAGCGATCGGAGAAGCACCTTTGCCCAGTCGTGCCACCTATTCGAAATCGAATGCATCACATCGAGTGCGTAGCCCATCGGTGATCGAGATACGGGACACACCTGATCGTGAAGAGGAGGAGCTTCGTGCAAGACTGGCCGCAGAAACTCTCAGAATGGAGGAGGAACTGCGTTTGAAGGAGAAGGAAAAGGAGCTGGAGCGCCGTTTACAGCAAGAGTTCGAAGAGAAGAAGCGAGCTATGGAAGAGGAAATACGCAAACAAGTGCAACTCGAGGAACGCGCCAAGTTACAGATGGAACTGGCGCAGCAACGAACGTTTCCGCCTCCCATGCAGCAGTATCCTCCACTAGTACCCCCACAGTATCCCAGCTCTACTATGCCGCCTACAAATTTTTCCAGCTATGGAGATGGCGGCTATGACAGAGAGAATTACGCAAATTATGACCGAGAGACGGGCGGAGGCGACTATGCCAGAGATCCAGGAACGAGCTCCTACTCATCCGTACCCGATTTTGAACTCGAGGAAATCAAACGTCTGATAAAGGAAACTGAGGATAAGCTTCTTGATCTCCAGCGAAATGCTCGTGAAGCAGAATTATCAGTCATTTTCCAGTCGCGCGCATTCCAGACGGTATCCGAACTTGGCGACAGTGCTTATATGCTCGATCGTAGCCAAAAGCAGCATCTTTTGCGCGAATTGAAGGAACTTCTCAGTCATGCTGGACCAAAAGAAAAGGAGATCCAAAGCAGGGAAAGAAGTAGAGGGCACAGCCGCAGTGCAGAAAAATCGAGAAGGAGGAGCTCCTACCGTCATCATGACCGTAGCCCAGCTCGTAGGTCATCCCGCTCTCCCAGGCGTCGTAGCAGTTATAGACATTCAAAGAAAGAAGACGAATACAAGGAAGTGCGACATCAAGTTGGTGGAATCACGCTGCGAAATCTCAACCCAGTCGAACGACGCCATCTCAAGATTGGCGATATCGTTGTTGCCCAAGATAGCGGTACTGCTAAGTGGACAACTGCTCACATAGCGAAGATCTCTGGTGACACAGCAACACTTTCTATTGGCAATGCGACATGGAAGAAGCCGATCAGAGACCTGTTCAAAGAAGTCAATGAGTGGTCTCTTTGAGCCGAATCGCTTAGAAGCAGATTACTCACTGCAATAGAAAAGACAGTTGTTTGTTTGCTTTATCTCTACTGTTGATGTGTTAGTGTTGTGAATAATTTTGAGCTTCGCGCTCTTCTGTTCTTCCTGGCTACTAAGCAGCTACCTTTACTATCTCTACAATATCATCTTCCGGCTAAGTTCTCAGTGATGTGAGAAGAAGAGGTGAAAGACTGAATGCGTCTCTTCGACAACCAAAGCTTGGTATTAATAGTGAGTTTTAAGATTCATGTTATGTTCCATTTTTTTCTTTCT